CTGATATGAGGCCTGAGACCTGGGTTAAAGTAATCAAAACTTTGCAGCTCTAAAATAAAGTTATGTTGTGAGCAAGGGGCAGGCCCGGCTTATTGAATCTTTCAGGAACAGGGCTGATATTGCAGAAACATACATTCCTAAGTAGTGATAGGCACAAGAATATGTATGCAAACACATTCTAGAAAGGTGGTACCAGAACACCTCGCTGCCAAACCAATTCCCCAAAGATATCGGGAAGACACTGACCTATCGTAAGGATAAGGTCAGGATAACAGCATAATGGATAGAGATGTTTGATTAAACTAACATGTACATGGTAATGGACAGCCCCTGGATACGTCAATGGGTGGCACCTCAATACATCAGAGGGTGGCGCCCTGATACATCAGAAGTAATATGTCATTTATTTGCATCTGTGTATAAAGATGAATCTCAGTGGCGATGTCTTTCTCTGAATGAGGGAAGAATATACAGTCCTGCCATTCTCTGAGCCGGTCCATTGTTTTGGCATACATGTGTTAGTGTACCTGTAATCACTGATCTGGGGCACTAGCGCTATGCCTCATTGCCAATAAACCTGACTAAGTTCCTTCACTGAAAACTAAGTCTGTGGATTTATTGGGCAGTTCAATTGGAGCCTGCTGTATGGGCTATCTGGCCAAAGTCAGTACAGCAGGCAGAAAGAACAAATGCACACAGCCAAACATCTATCAACAGGCTGAACAGTTTGGAAGACTCAGTTTGTTCTGACAATCTGAGCCTCTGGGATCAGAGAATCATTTCTTCACTCACAGGGGAGGCTCTCAAGCTGAAGTTCTCTAGAGTCTATTTTCTGCTCCTCCTGCTGCTCATGGAGCTGAGGGAATTGTCCAGGATTTCTGGCCAACCTGAGAGTCCTCAGGGACTTTTCAGGGTAATCATAAAGGTTGCTGTCCAGCACAGTGAGTGTCAGACACATGAGATTCATACACTGATTCTCAGAGCCCTGCTTTCCTGTCACCTTAAGGAGATTTCCTCACTGCTGAGCGGGATTTCAGTGAGTTGCCTCTTTCTGTATTAAAGTTAGTACTGAGGGTTCAGGAAAGGTTCCAGGGTTCGTGTCAAGAACCATCTGGGCAGGAATTCAGCAGCAGAGCGACTTGAACTGTTCAGTATTGTCAGAATTTACCTGGTAAAATTGGAATTACAAATGTTAAAATAGTTAAAAATTCTCAGCGATGAAGAGTCTGCCAAGACCCTTGGAAAATTGTTCCAGTGGTGAATTACTCTCACCATTTAAAAATGTACACTCTATTTCCAGTCAGAATTTCTTTAAGTTCAACTTCTAGCCATTGGATCCTGTTACCCCTCCCTATGTTAGGCTGAAAAGCCTATTATTTAATACTAGTTCCCTGTGTAGGTACTAACAGGCTGTTATCAAGTCACGCCTTAACCACCTTTATTAATAAATAAATTAATTAATGGAGATATCCTATCTCCTAGAACTGGAAGGGACCTTGAAAGGTCATCAGGTCCAGCCCCCTGCCTTCACTAGCAGGACCAAGTACTGATTTTTGCCCCAGATCCCTAAGTGGCCCCCTCAAGGATTGAACTCTCAACCCTGGGCTTAGCAGGCCAATGCTCAAACCACTGAGCTATCCCTCCCCCCTAAATTATTAAATTTAGCAGATTAAGATCTTTGAGTCTATCACCTAGATGGAGCTAATAAAAGGTGGGCGCATAACTGGTTGGAAAATCGTTCCCAGAGAGTAGTTATCAGTGGTTCACTGTCACGCTGGGAGGGCATAACGAGTGGGGTCCCACAGGGATCGGTTCTGGGTCCGGTTCTCTTCAATATCTTCATCAATGATTTAGATAATGACATAGAGAGTACACTTATAAAGTTTGCGGATGATACCAAGCTGGGAGGGGTTGCAAGTGCTTTGGAAGATAGGATTAAAATTCAAAATGATCTGGACAAACTGGAGAAAAGGTCTGACGTAAATAGGATGAAATTCAATGAGGACAAATGCAAAGTACTCCACTTAGGAAGGAACAATCAATTGCACACATACAAAATGGGAAATGACTGCCTAGGAAGGAGTACCGTGGAAAGGGATCTGGGGATAATAGTGGACCACAAGATAAATATGAGTCAACAGTGTAACGCTGTTGCAAAAAAAGCAAACGTCATTCTGGGATGTATTCAGTAGCATTGCTAGGGGGGAGCTGGGGAACGGCCACTCCCCACTGAGCACATTCCTCAAAAGTGGCGCCTTTTTAATTTTTACACTCACCCCAGCAGTCCAGGTCTTCGGTGGCAATTCGGCGGCGTGTCCTTCAGCCACTCTGGGTCTTTGGTGGCAATTCGGCGGCGGGTCCTTCAGCCGCTCCAGGTCTTGGGCGGCAAGACTTGGGTTTTTCTTTTCTTTTTTCTTCACTGGTTTGGCGCCTTTTTTTATGTGTTCGCGCCCCCTGCTGGTAGAACCTGGCTACGCCACTGGATGTGTTATCAGGAGTATTGTAAGCAAGGCATGAGAAGTAATTTTTCTGCTCTACTCTGCATTGGTTAGGCCTCAACTGGAGTATTGTGTTCAGTTCTGGGTGCCACATTTCAGGAAAGATGTGGACAAAATGGAGAAAGTCCAGAAAAGAGCAACAAATTGACCTATGAGGGAAGATTGAAAAAAACTCAGTATGTTTAGTCTGGAGAAGAGAAGACTGAGGGGGCACATGATAACAGTTTTCAAGTTCATAAAAGGTTGTTACAAGGAGGAGGGAGAAAAATTGTTCTTCTTAACCTCTGAGGATAGGACAAGCAGCAATGGGCTTAAATTGCAGCAAGGGTGGTTTAGGTTGGACATTAGGAAAAACTTCCTAACTGTCAGAGTGGTTAAACACTGGAATGAATTGCCTAGGTAGGTGGTGGAATCTCCATCATTGGGGATTTTTAAGAGCAGGTTAGACAAACACCTTTCAGGGGTGGTCTAGATAATACTTCATCCTGCCTTGAGTGCAAGGGACTGGACTAGATGACCTCTCGAAGTCCCTTCCAGTTCTATGATTCTATGATTCTGTGATCACTATAAGGCAGGATTTCTAATCTTTTACTAATTCTTGTGACTCTTCTCTGAACCCTCTTCAGTGTATCAACATTCACCTTTAATCATGGACACCAGAAATGGACAGAAGATTCCAGTAGCAGTTGCACTAGTGCCAACTACAATGGTAAAATAACTTCTCTACCTCTCCTTCAGATCCCCTGGTTATGCTCCCAGTATCACATTGTCTCTTTTGGCCACATGGGAGCTCATGTTTAGATAATTATCCCTTCACACCCCCACATTTGTTCACAGTCATTGTGCTTCCCACAGTATTCCCCCATCATGTAAGCATTACCTTTATTCTTAGTCCCTATAGGTAGATATCTACATAGCTATGTTAGAATATATATTGTTTACTTCGACCCAGTTTACCAACCAATCCAGATTGCTCTGAATCAGTGACCTGTCCTCTTCCTTATTTACGATCACCCAATTTTTGTGTCATCTTCAAACTTCATCGATATTCAGGCATGAGAAGGGTAAGTGGCTGAGTTGCTGACACATGTCTCTGCTTACACTTGTCAGTTAAAACCTGTAACTTATGTCTCAGACAAAGCTGAGTGCCTGCAAGAAAGTATCTCACCAAAAGAAACAAGGGAAGTAACAGAGGTGCAGGCCTGTATCCCTAAATACCAAGACCCTGGTGCTCTTTGTGCCCATTCTGTTGAGCACAAAGTCATAGCCCAGCATGACAATGTCTGTTTCCATGGGGGAAACCTGGCTCCTTTTGAACATGGGAATTGCATCATGGATCAGATCTCTGGTCCATCGAGTCCAGTGTCCTCTCTCTGAGAGTAACATACCCAGATGTTGCAGAAAAAGGTGTAAGAATCCCAGCAGTGGGTGGATGAGGGGGATTATTTGACCATGATGAGGTCATCCTAATGCCTAACAGCTAGAGATTGGCTTGTGCCTTGAAACATGTGGGTGTATAGGCTTTCCAAAATATTTAGTTAACTGTAACTGTTGTAACTGGATAGTCTCACTATCCATATAAATGTCCAAACACTTCCTGATTCTTACTTAACTCATGGCTTGAACTACCTCTTGTGGCAACAAGTTCCTCAGTCTAATTAGGCATTGAGTGAAGAAAGCATTCTTTTTTATTAGTTTTCAATTTGCCACATTTATGTTTAATTGAATGTCCTCTTGATCATGTGTTATGAGACGGGGAGAACACATTCTCAAACTAATTTCTACGAGTCAGTATTTTGTAGACTTTTCTCCTGTCCCCTCTTATTCATCTCCTTTGTAAGGAAACAATCCCAGTTGTTTGAATCTCTCTCTGTATGAGAGTTTCCCCAGGTGCTTGATCTTTCCCGTTGCCCTGAACCCCTCTAGCTCTGTAATATCCTGTGTGAGAAGGGTGCTCAGTACTGCACAGAGGAGTTCAGAGGAGGGTGAAACATTGAATGACTGATCTCATGGCATTGTATTTTCTGTATGATTTCCCATCCCACTCCTCCTGGATCCCAATGATTTGGTTAGTTTCTGTCCGTGATTGCACTGTGAGCAGGATTTCCCAGAACTTTGTACCATGACACCCAGATCCCTGTCCTGAGTTCATACAGTGAAATTAGAACCTTGCTAGGTGTTTGTTGAGTACAAGTTTTTCTGACCAGTGGGCATACACGTTTCAGTTATTGACATCCAAGTTCATCTGCCATCATGCTACCCATTCACCTGGCTTGGTTAGCTCCTTCTGAGGACTTCTCTGGATTTGAGTATGACCTAAATAAGGTGGTGCCATCTGTAAATGTTGCCACCTCACTTCTCACCCCCCTTTCTAGATTGTTAATAACTATAAAATATTTACAGTACTATTTGTTATAAAGTGTGTAACCCCCCTCATTCTGCTTCTATCCATTCACAGGCACCTTGAGAGTTTATGAGCCTGATCGATGCATTATCCAAGTCATGGCAGTTTTCAACCTCACACCTTCTGATCCTTCATCATTTATCCTAATGGGCATCCCTGGCCTGGAAGCTGCCCACATCTGGATTTCAATCCCTTTCTCTACGTCCTACATTATCAGCCTGTTGGGAAATTTCACGGTTCTGTTTGTTGTGGGCAAAGAGCAGACCCTGCACAAGCCGATGTATCTGCTGCTCTGCATGCTGGCGCTCACAGACATCAGCACGTCAACCTCAGTTGTGCTGAAGGCACTGTGTATATTTTGGTTCAATCTGGAAATTATTACTTTGGGTGGATGTCTCACCCAGATGTTCTTCTTTCATGCGGGTACTGTGATGCACTCAGCCATCCTCGTCACAATGGCCTTTGATCGCTATGTTGCCATATGTAACCCTCTGAGATATGCCACCATCCTCACCAATGCACGAATAGCTAAGCTAGGGCTAGTGGGTTTGATAAGAGCTGTTCTCTTAGCTCTGCCCCTGCCCCTGCTTCTGAGTAGGCATCCATTCTGTGCCAACCGCATTATCCCCCACACGTACTGCGACCACATGGCTGTGGCAAAGATGTCATATGGGGACATCACAGTCAACAGGATGTATGGCTTGGTGATACCATTTGTAGTCAATGGGTCAGACCTGACACTCATTGCCCTGTCCTATGGCCTGATCATCAGGGCTGTTCTCAGAATCTCCTCCAAGAAAGCACATCAGAAAGCCCTCCACACCTGCACAGCCCACATCTGTGTGATGCTGATTTCTTATCCTCCCTTCTTCTTCTCCACTCTGACATACCGGTTCGGTCAGGGCATCGCTCCCCACATTCACATCATTTTGGCTAACCTCTATTTCCTCCTCCCCACCATGCTCAACCCTATTATTTATGGGGCCAAAACCAAAGAGCTTCGTGAGAAAATGGGCAAATACACCTGCAGAATGTGTTCGCTCGGGGGCCACTGACTTTAACCTGCGTGACTGAAGGGGGAAAGGAAACTTCCTTATCATACAAGGGCACTCTTTCCCAATTTGGCTGAGCTCATCATTGTGCAAGTTGAGAGTCTGAGAAGCACCTCACACCTCACATCTTATCACTCTGTCACCAAGTACTGCTCTCTCCATTTCTGAGTTCCCTCTTTCTCACCATCACCTGATCTTTTTCAGTGTCATCCATCCACCTCCACACACCCGATCCCTTGGCCTTTCAGTGACTTCCAGACCACTAGAAGATACTGCATCTTTCTGAAGCAAGGTGGCTTTCCATTAGACCTTGTGTGAACAGACTTTTTGATCAGTTTGACAAACTGAAGCCATGTCATTTACTAAATACCGTTCCAGATGTCAGGTAAATATCTGGGATGTTCTAAACCTATTTCTTATGTCTGTGTGTGCTTCAGTCTAATAAACTGCAGTGTTAGACAAGAGCGTGCTTACTTTCATTTAATCCTTATCAGACAGAATTGCTGTGTTTCCATTGATTTAGTCCTAACACTGCCTGATGCAAAATAGTTAAGTTGCCCGGGATGGGGATTCTGAATAACTTGGGTAATGGATTGCTGTGTTAAACTATGACATCGCCTTTGAGTCCAATAACTTACTGCTTTGCATAATCGATTTTGGAGTCGCTTTCAACTGGAACTTTCAAAATACACACTAGTCATTCCCAATAAGGTGTTGATCTTTCAGAAATTGATACAGAAAAGTATCATAGTCCCTGGAACCCAAATTAGGCTCCCATGCATCTCTGATGCAAGCATGGGGGAGGGACTGAAGCCCGAACAAAAGAAACAGATGTAGCAGTTGTTTGATTCCTTTGCAGCTGTGTTCTCACTTCAGCAGGGCACACCTACCTAGAATATCACTATCCTGAAATGGCCCCAGGGCAACAGACCAGGCAAACTCCATGGCTGTTCCCTTGTAAAATGTGGGATATCACGTGGGAACTCCAGGTGATTTGGCCCTGAGCGTGGTGAAGGAATCACACAGTGAGTGGAGAAGTCCCATGGTTCTAGTTCTGACACACAATAGCAGAATCCGTTTCTGCATCCGTTACCCGATACAGAGAGTTACTGAACTATTAGAACAGTTTGGAGTTGCTAGACATATATCCACTTTAGGCTTCACAAAGGGATACTGGCAAGTAACTTTTGATGCCAGAATCTGGGAGAAGAAAGCCTTTTCCATCCCCTTCAGCTTGCATCAATTCAGGATCACATGATTTTTCCTCCACAGGGTGGCAGTGACTTTTCAGAGGCAATGGATTAAATATTACAACTGCATGGGTGGAATGCAGCAATATGCTTCTACGATCAATTGAAAATGGTTTTTGGTCCAGTATCTTGTGGCAGCATTCCCACATTTAGTGCAGATAGCAGTACATTGAACACAGAAAAGAAAGCCATCGTCAATTGCTAAGTTGAACAGTCTGCAATACTCACTTTGCCTTGACAATCTGACCCCCCTGTTATTGGTGAATATTCTCTTCAATCCCGGGGGAGGCTCTCAAGCTGAAGTTCTCCAGGGTCTATTTTCTGCTCTTCCCACTGCTCACGGAGCCAAAGGAATTGTACGGGAGTCCTGGCCAACTTGAGAGTCCAGAGGGACTGTACAGGGAAATCATAAAGGTCGCTGTCCAGCACGGCATTTCTCAGACATGTCAGATTCATACACTGATTCTCAGGGCTCTGCCTTCCTGTCACCGTAAGGAGATTTCCTCTGTGTGCTGAGCAGGATTGTGGTGAGTTGCCTGTTTCTGCCATAAAGTTAGTGCTGAGAGCTCAGGAAGGGTTCCAGGGTTCAAGTCAAGAACCATCTGGGCAGGAATTCAGGAGCACGGTGACTTGAACTGTTTAGTATTGTCAGAAACATCAAGGGATTTACCTGGTAAAATTGGAACTACAAATGTATTGGAAATAGTTTAGACCCATATTTGCTTTTAACATCAGTTTCTTGTCTCTTACTGTGTCCTTCTAGCCGTCTCAGTAGCTTCTTTGTTTGGGTGGTATGGTTTTTCTTCTGGTTGGCCCATGTTTTCCAATTCAGTAACTTCACTGCCCTGTTATGAAATACAGCTAAAGCCTCTGCAGTGGGTATCTGTGTTACCAGAGGGCTCACAACAAGAATGAGTCACACACTGGCCAGATTCTGCTCTCACATTCTGCCTATAGTGGGTCACTCCAGATTGACACTGGCCTCCCTGAGAGCAAAATCAGGGCCCCTGTGTTTTGGAATCCCTATCTTTCATGCCTGGTCTCAGAACGCCACAGAAACTGGGGGTTTCCTTCAGACTCTTTGAGCAGCCTAACAGAATAGCGCTCTCTGCTGCAGGACTGGAAGCCGTGATTTTCACAGCTGGTAGACGAAAGTTAAACATTAAGGGTGAAATCTTGCACCTACTTAGATCAATGGCAAACTCCCAACATGGTCAGGATTTCACCCTAAATCTACATGTAGGGACTTAAATAAATGGCCTGATTTACACCGACCATGAGCCTCCAGTGAGTTCAACTGGAGTCGTCCTGTGGCCTCAAAGGACGGGTGAGCTCATTGAGACCAAAGAAGATCTGACAGGAGACTTGCTGACATCTCACACTCACAGGGTTAGAGGTTCAGCACAATCAGGATGACATTTTTTTGTGGGGGGAGATGGGTCTGCTCTTTATGTGCCCCTTCATCTCTGGTTCTGACGAGGATGAGAAGCACCAAAAGGCTTAGAGGAAACCAGGTGGTGTTGGAAATCTCACCGGGGCAGGTCCCAGAACCTACAGTATGTGGGCGGGGGGGGGGGGGAGGGGGCTGGAGGACAGACGGATAGACGTGTGCAGTATCCAAATCACAGTGGTACGGAGTCCTGAAACCAGTCGAAATAGGGAATGGACATCCTGCCTAATGAGTAAACACTGGGTGTTGTGGGGCCTGGGAGCAGGGTGTACATGGACAGGCGGGCAGCGCTGGAGGTTGTGGGGAAGGGAGGAGGTGTACACAAACAGGTGAGAAAATGCTGGTGGTTGTTGGAGCAGGGAGTGGGGTGTACGTGGAGAGGTGGGCAGCGCTGTGGGCTGTGGGTCAGGCAGGGGGTAAATGGATAGACAGACAGCACTGGTGCCTGTGGGGACAGAAAGCGGGGTGTACATGGAGAGGCGAGCAAACGCTGGGCGTTGTGGGGGCGGGGATCAGCATGTACATGGATAGGCAGGCAGCGCTGATGAAATTGAATTTTCCTTTGTGATTGTTAGTTCAAGGGCAATGCTGGGACCTTTCCTGCCTTGAATGCATGTGGGTGGGTCTCAGGGTCTCTTTTCCCTCGCAAGCCACAGAACTGCAGTCTGGGTATTACAACTTTAATCAGTTTTATTTCCAATTGTTGTTGCTGTTACGTAACTTCAGGAATTTCACTGGTGACAAGAACCATTGCTCTTTGCTTCTCAGATGGTTCAATCTCCCATCATACTCCGACCCCGCATCCGTACTCTCCTCCCCATCCCAGGCTGCCCCGATTCCAAAATCACGCTGGGCGCCAGTGTCTCCTCCATGCTCTCCAGTCATCCCTTGCTCTCAGAATATCCGAGTCACCCCACGCTGCCCACAACTCTTCTTCTGCAGGGGTGTAGGTCCCTCCCATCACACCTTCTCCCTTGGCTGGCGGGAGATCAGTGACTGTGTCTCACCAGTGAGAATCTCACACACGAGTGGCAAATGCCAGGGCACCTGTGATGCTTTTCTTGTTGCACTCATAGACACCGCATGAAGCTTCGGGGCCTGCTACACAGGAACAACTCACAAGCCAAGAAGTTTGCTCATTCTATAATGAGAGCTGGAAACTCTGGGACATGTGCAGGCCTAGATAAATACAGCTGCCATGTGCAAGAGCCACTGGCAGCTGCCTGAAAGAGTGGACCACTGGGACACACATTAAACCCAGGACTCTCTGGGACCATTTGTTAGCCAGCTCTGTTAGCCATTCACGGTGACACTTATACATTCATTCCTCAGTGCAGAGATTTTATGGGGTCAAGTCGTTATTTTTCTCACCTAAAACATTCATCCATGCAGTGTGTCATGGGATCCCTCAGCCTCATGAAATACCCACCTAGTGTAAAATTTCCAAGGCACCACAGTCACATGAGAATTTCTCCACATAGGGCTAAATTCACCATGGTCATGAATAGAAAAAATGCCTTCAGTAAGTTCAGGCACAAGCTTTCAGGCAAAATGCCTCCAGTTGACTCCTGGGGACATAGATTCCAAAGCCAGAAGGGACCTTTGTGCTCATGTAGTCTGACCTCACGCATAGCACAGGCCAGAGACCTGCCCTGACTTAATTCATGTTTCAACTAGAGCAGATCTTTTAGCGCAGTGGTTCTCACCAAGGGTACACGTACCCCTGAGGGTATGCAGAGGTCTTGTAGGGGGTACGTCAACTCCTAATTTTACAAGATGCTACATAACACTAGCAAAGTCAGTACAAACTAAAATTTCATTCAGACTTGTCAATACTGCTCTTTATACTATACACTGAAATGTAAGTAAAAAAAGTTTTATTCAAATTTATTTACTTTATAGGTACATGGTCCAAATTAGAAAGTAACCAATTTTTCTGTAATAGCATGCTGTGTCCCTTGGGTATTTTTCTGTCTGATTTTGTAAGCAAGTTGTTTTTAAGTGAGGTGAAAGTTGGAGTACACAAAACAAATCAGACTCCTGAAAGGGATATAGTAGTCTGGAAATGATGAGACCCATTGTCGGAGAGAAACATCCAGTCTTGATTTTAAAATTGTTCCCATCGTTAATTACTCTCACCATTTGAAAAGTGTATACCTTATTTCCAGTCAGAATGTGTCTAACTTCAACTTTCAGCCACTGGATTGTGTTAGACCTTCCTTTGCTAGACTGAAGAGCTCATATTAAATATTTTTTCCCCATGTGGGTACTTAGAGACTGTGACCAAGTCTCCTCTTAAACTT